GACTTCAAATGTTCCATGTTTTCCCCAGAGAAAAAGAGAAAAAAAATTAAAAGAGAGAACTGAACTCCTGCTGCTCATCTGCAGAGCCCTGTGGGAACAAAGAGCCAGGACTGACGGGAGGGAGGATGGAAAACCAGTGGGAACAGGCAGGAGACAGGCAAGGTGGTGGGGGAAGGGGCCACGAAGCGGTGGGAGGAATGGGAGCAGAAAGGAGCCAGATCTGGTAAGCTGAGGAGAAGCCCGGTAGGAGAAACTTCTTTGTTTGGAGGAGAGAAAAAAAAGGGAAGGGGAGATGATGGAAGAAGCATATCTGTTGGGTTAGCTGTTGGTTGTTCCTATCCACTCTCAGTCTGAACCTACAAAGGGGAAAACTAAAACACGCAGAGAAAACTGATTAGCATGTGCAAACAAACACACTTCTCTTGCTCTGATTGTGACTATCTTTTTTTACCTTTTTCTCTCTTCACTTGGCACTTTGTTTTAAAAGTATTGGATATGAAAATGTAAGGAAGAAAATCTAATATGGCAAGCCTATAGAAGATGCTAACTTCATTGATCTTGACACATTGATCTAAATGTATTTTTTAACAGCTCAAAAGTGCTGGTTTCCCTTAGGCAGGGCTGACTGCTGCAAAGAAAACTAACCTGACCTACAGTGATTTGATTTTTCTCTAGATTTAAAACTTAAATTTGTTACGTATCCTGAAAGATTCAACAGGAAGAAGTTGGCATTAATGTCACAGCTTCTGTATTGTTTGTATACGTAACTGCTTTGTTTTAGGTTAACAGCTCCTAGTGTAAACCATTTATTTGCAGAAAGCAGAAACGCCAAATTGTCATGGGAAATTAATATATATCTTCAGTTAACAAGCAGACCATCTAAAATATCAGAAACAGAGCAATAGTTACCTTTTTTAAGTTAACTTATATCAGTTCTTTGCTGTAAGACTGAATGTTTTCCTCCTTGCAATATTACAGCAGAGTAGTCAGCATTTCAATGTAATCTGCACTACAATGGCCTATGTTAATGCAGACAGATACTTCAAAAACAGAACAACATGTTAATGGTCCCTCTCATATAATTCTTGGGCCTAACAATTAGTAGCCACTTTTATTAGCGGTTAAGTGCAGAAATATACCATTTAAAAATCTTACAACCTTTGTTCTGGATTTTAGGCGCCTTCAACAAAATGTGTCTTTACTAATTTCTTTTGTAAGCTTGCATGTCTGTTGTAAATAGCACTTTTATCCCTGGCTTATTGCCTGGAGAATTAGGCAAAGAAACAGGACACCTTATTTTGCTAAAACTTTTTGTTCTTTTTTATTTTATTTTAAGAGGTTAGTAAAGGTTGGAAGACTTTCTTCACTGGTCATGGATGATTTTTTTTTTCAGGTCTTTATCTGCTGTACTTGAAACTCTGAAATTGGTAGCTGGAAATGAAGCTATCATGGTGTGAATGGGGTTAAACTTTGAATTTTCAGTTATAAAATTGGATCAAACATCAATTTATTGATTAAATCTGGGAAAAAAAGGCTCAAAAGAGAGCAGTATCAAATTCAGGAAGATTCCTCTTGTGAATATGAATTGTTTATTGGAATAGCCATGTTCTTGCAAAGCAGGCTGGCCAGTCCCCTTTTTTTTCTTTTTGTGAGATCTCATCACTGGCTTTACTTTTCGCAGATTTACCGTTTCAGTTGCTCTGTTTTAGGGCATGCTGTGTTCTGTGCAAGATATGCAAAACTAGCAGCCTTTTTGTGGAAGTAAGAAACAAACTTGTTCTCTAGGTTCCTCTTTCTGCAATTAAGTTACACTGCCCTTACATATTCATCCCTGTCCCTGCTAGTAAATAGGGTGTTCAAGCCTTGAAACCAATTTCTTCTGCATGGCTGCAGCGTGATAAATACCCTCCAAAGGCTTGCTTACTTAGTGGCCACTAACACATGGTCTTGGAACTGCTGTAGGGTATTTTTTCCACCAGTTGTGGGTAAGTTGATGGCACTTTGGCTTCATCCATGTCTAAACAAACGGAGAGTTGGCCAGTCAGTTCTCACAGATCAGGAAAGCAGTTTATGTATCTGGACAAATTTGTCCTGCAGTTCCCAGTTGTGACAGGAAAAATATTTTGCCTGTCCCTTTCATGTTCTAAGGAGCTAGGGAACCAATTTTTACGCATATAAAATTTGGTTGTTTTATCTCACATATCTTTCTGATGTTTACATATTTCTTTCTCCATCATGAATGATTAAGTTTCTCATTTTGTTGGAACTCTTAGCTTTCAGTGAATATTTCTAGTTTAAAACAGTTAGTGATCCATCTATGAGAGGTTTTTTTCTTCTTCACTGACCATCTCTGATTCTTTCAAGTGTTCACATCTCTTCCATTGCAAGAATTGTGTTCTCTCATACAGCTGAGAGTCTGGTCTCTGCTACATTAATCTGTGGTGTCTTTAGTTCTGAGAGCAGTTGCTGAGAGTGTAAGATAGCCCAGCCATATGTGAGATATGAAGACTTCCATAAAATGAAACCGAAAACCAATATGAATAGACTTCTGAATACATTTATTATACTGTTTCCTGGGAAGGTGAATTTATTGATTCATATTCAGTTTTGTTACTTGTACATACTGGTACATGGAAGGTCTTACATTGGAAAACATTTTCATCCAACTTAGTTGCAGTACAAAATAAAGCAAAAATTGCTGGTTCTGGTTTCCAGTACTGTAAGTGTATTCGTGCAAATGGAGAAATTCAAGTTTCATTATAGTAGTTTAAGCTTTGAGTTGCAGTAACACCAACCATTCTGAAAAATTACTTCACAGATTTGTTACAGAAGAGGAAGAAGAACAGTGGCAAAAATTCTTGTCTTCGTGCAGCCCCAGGATGGTTGCTAATACCAAAACTTCCAAGTATTTATAGATATTCTGTACCTATGTAGCTTTTTGAGAAATCATACAAAGGGAATTTCTTGCTTCTGTGTTTTAGTAATTCCTTTCCAGTTTAAGAGACTTCTTCTTTATCTGCAAAAGTCCAAGGAGTAAGTCTTTATTTAGCTACTTAGAGTTAAAAAATCCCAAACAAATGTTCACCATTATATAGAAGAATCAAGCCATGTAATTTAATAGTATCAGTTCTTAACAAGAGATATATCATTGCTGTAGTTATATCAGCTTCTTTAAAAATACTTTAGTACTTTGCTACTTAAGGAGGGAGAAAAATGCAGTATTTACAGACGCAAGCATTTTCACAGAACATGTATAATTTGAACTGGAAAAATCGATACAAAAAATTATATGGTTTTAAGTCAAATCTGAGTCCCAATAGTACTATTTGTTAAAAGAGTCCAAATATTTGGAGCCAAGTACAACACCTGGTCACCTTTGAGCCAGATTCCACAGAAGGATGATGGCTTATTTCAAATAGGGCTCCCTTGGCTGGACTGCACATCCTATATTTATATATGATGCAAGGAGGTCTCTCCTCTGATAACTGGAGAATTCATGAATGAGTGTAGCTCAGGAGGCTGGGCTGATGTGGGAGCCTGACAGAGGTAGTCCGTGCTTTTCTTTCCATGAGAGTTCCAGCAGCCCTGTGTCAGAAGAATAAGGGTTAACACTAAGCTGAACCAGAACACTTGGTGTCATTACAAGGAATGAAAATAAAACAATCTGAGCCAAAAAGGTTTTTTTAGTTTTCAAGTAAAAATGCAGATTTCCTATTGCCAGAAATCTTGAGATTTCCTCCTTGGGTGGTATCAAATTTTACTTTTCTTTGTTCAGGAAGGAGAATATGTTTTAAAATTCATGCATTCTCATTTTTCATTAGATCTACTCTTAATCAGATCCCTAAAACCTGTACTTTGCAAGTTCCTCACACTATATTTTAGGGGGAAAGTATTAATAACAACATGTGCATGCCTATTTGAGCAGTAGAGTTGAAGTCTCTCTGTGTTGCTGCATTCAGAATTGAGTGCAAAATCAACCCCAGATCTGCCTTCAAATTAGACAAAGTCTCCAAAATTGGTACAACAGGCTTATGGAACTGAACATGATGTTGTAGAATAAGTGAGGAGCAGTGTACCAGCACTGGATGCTTCAGAGCCATGTCTTGAAGAGTCAGAAGCCCAGGATTTATTTCTTTTGGGGCTGCAGCCCTGGCACTGGATTTCTGATGCCCTGGATAGATACATTATAGATGTATCTATAGATGCCCAGCAAGATACATTAAAAACTCCTCTGAAAAGGCTTACTATAAACAATTAATTTCATAGACCTAATTTAAATGTTTATGGCATAGTGCTATATTTGCAAAATAATTAGGTTATATATATTTTTCTATAGTAATAAATTAATTTCTGACTTTTCATTTATTTGGAACATCTCTTCTCTGGTAGGACTACATCAAACTTTTCCTTCCTCAACTGAAAAGAAACTATTAGTTACTCAGAACACCTAAATTTATCTAAAAATGAGTTGTGAAAATTTTATTTGCATGTACTTTTGCATTCAAGGAAACTCAAAATCAGTTTCTTTTAAGGGTGCCAAAGTTGGCACAAATGGCACAAATCCCTGGAAGGTAAATATGTGCCTTGCTCTGTTTGAAGAAATCTGGCTTCAAAATAAAGTTATAGACTTTTGAAAACATGCATCCTGGTTGGCACAGCAGGTTTTTAACATCAGAAGCAAACACCAGGATGTGATGTTCTGAATATTCACTTTCAGTATATTTGAAAGCTCACACCTACTTGTATTTGAATGTGTGATTACTTTCAGAACTGCATTGTTCTGAATCACAGTTACAAAAAGAAAAAGGCTCTGGAGACCTTACTGTTTATTATAAATCAGGTTTCTGCTTTCAGTCAGAGATTGAAAGAACATAGGCATTTTACTCACAGAAACTACTATTACTCTTGCAGAAATAAATAGAGCTTCCTGCAAGAGTGACTGTGATCTAGGAAATATGCTGATTCAAATTATTATGAGGAGGAAATATACTCACATCTCAGTGACCTCATTGTCTTCATTTCTTAATTTATAGAAAACTTCACATGCTTTGAAAGATCTCTTGCATCGTTGTCCCTGCTGCTTCTTTCTGTCCAAAACTGGAAATGTGTATTCCTCCATCACTTTCTCAGTGACACCTGGTGATTTATAATGTTCTCTTGGAAATAAATAATCCACCTTGGGATAAAAGGAACACAAAATTATTTTGAGTAACAAAAATTAACTCTGCATCCTCACAGGAGAATACGGAATACAGCTAAAAGCCATCAAATATGACAATAATCCATAACATGCACAGAATTTAATGCATCTTTCAAGCTCTGGATCACTTCCATTAATAACTAGAATTATTTATCACCTTTGAGCCTTGACAATAGATTTAGACTGCATTTTTTAAAGAATACGAAAGCATATTTCTGCCAGTTAGCATGGGGACTGAGGTTCATGGCTAAATTTGGTGAAACCCTGCTTCCTCATGAGTGACAGAGGATAGCTGAGATAGGGAGAAGGTTAGATGTTTAAAGTAGGTGCTTAAAAACAGGTAAGAAAAATGCTGTCAAAATTAACTATTATTTTATGTGTGTTTCCTCTACCAGAGTATCACAGTTACACTGCTTGTTAAATACACTGTAAAAAGAAGTAACTAGAGGGGTCATGCAAAAGAAGCCTGTGAAAGAACAGTATTAAAAAGTTTTGTTTCTTAAGAAGAGGTGTACATCCCTGAATTCAGAAAGAATGTCCCACAGTCTGAGACTATTATAATCCATTCATGGGTTTTGCTGGTTTTGAGATTTTTCAGCAAAATATTAGCTAAATGAGGGGAATATTCTTTTTTATTACTTAATTTTATTCTATTTCTTGCAATAATGGTTCTTATTTTAGCCAAATGTCTGTCATCCATATATCAAAAAAAACTAAACGGGTCTTTACTCTCAGATTTTCACTTTGGCTTTCATGTATCTATTTAATAGTAAGCATTCAGAATTCACTCTTAAGGTGTACTATAAAAATAAAAGCTTACTCCTGGTCTTACTATACTTCTGGAGTTATACCTGCAAACTGGTGTTCTGTAAAGATCCTGATGTCATTTGCTTGAAAGGCTTATTTGTAGATACTAGATATAAGTAGATATTAAACTCCATTTTTAAAACTCAGAAGATCTAGAAAAAAACCCAGTCTTGTCTTTTTACGGTTAATAAACATTTATAAGCTGTAGGGTAAAAAAAAAGGAATGTACATCCAAGAACTATTGCAGCTAACTTCTTTGAATTCATTTTATTTAAATAAAACCTCATGCAGAACAGGGAGATGTTGAAAACAGAAGATGTGAACTCCTGCTACTCTAGTCTTCTGGGCAGATTTACCATTTATCTACCAGAGCCACAATTTTAAAAAAAAAATCTTTAAAAAAAACAAATTTAGTTAATTTAGCTCTTATGAGAATAAGAAGTTACAAGTGCTAGACAACGTTGAGCCTACAGTCCATGTCTGCCCACAAACTAGCACTTGAGATTACCAGATTTCTGCGACATCAATCCTGAACTCAACTGTATACCAGTTATACCAAACTGCATAGTGGTTTCAAAGGTTTTGATGTGTGAGCTTCCTACCTCTGGTACCTACCACTCATCTGCCTGCTGCAAGTTTTCACTGCAAAGTTAATTTTACTTTAGACACCCACCCTGCTACCCCATACCAATACTCAAGATCATAATATGGTGCAATTAAAAAAGTGCCTGTCATGTTGGAAATATTTCTTACTCTTTTTAGAGGTTCTGTACTGTAGTTAAAAAAAAATAGACACTGTAATTATTATAAACTGTGATTATTATAAACAGAGCTTACTTAAAGGAATTTTCATATTTGAATCAACTAGGAGGTAAACATTGTCTTCATTGTCACTGTATAACACTTGACATCTAATGACTTCCTGAAATTCCTATTCCCTTAACTCAATTGATGAAGCCTTGCATTAGACTCAGAAATGCGATAACAAAAAAAAACCCCAAACCCAAAAAACAACAACAGAAAACAAAACCAAAAACCAAACTAAACAAACAAAACCAACCAAACAAAAAGCCCAAAGTATAAAACTTTTGGTTTAATTATAGTTTTCTACCATACTGGAATAGCTGTAGAGAGATGTAATATTCTTTATAAAATACAATTTTTATATTATATATATATGACTTGTCACTAACACTCTCTCCTTTTCATTATTTTATTGTGTGATCAGATCCCTCATACATGGAATCTATATTTACATGTAATTTCCAATGAATAGTCAAATTGCCATTAATAAATTTGAGTACCAAATTTTAATTTCAGCAATCTTTAATTTTTATATGTGTATGATGGTAAAATCATTGAGTTATTTATTTTGGTTTTCTGAATAAATTCAGTGGCTTTCTTGCCTCATGAAGGAAGCAAATCTAGCAAAAAAAGAAACAAAGTTATTATTTTTCTATGAGAGTTATCTCTAAAATATTTGAGTGACTTGAGGACTAACTGTAAGCTAAGGCTATGAAGCTGGACTTCAGAAGATTTCAGGAATAATTCTTATTGCAGGGTTCACTTTCAATTTATAAAATACCAGTGTGGGTGAATCATTATACAACACCTTCAGCATTCTGTGTTCCAGTAGAGTGAGGCTAAAGCAACTGGTAGGACTGTACAGAAACAACAGCAGGGGCATATGCTTGGTGGGCTGCTCAGCTACACACTGAAAGCAACTGATTCCAGCACTGTGGGGGATGTATTTTCAGTATGTAACACCAGGCAAGAAGTTGTCGTGCAAAAACTCCCGAAGCAGCAAATGAAATCAGACAGAAGAGTGTATCCTGGCAAAGACGTGGCAACATCTTCAGACCGAATTTGTGAAACCAAAAGTCTGGTATATGAAAAATAATATTTAAGAAAAACAGATCATCATGTGGCCCTGGTCTCGAATATGCCTGCACCTATGTGTATTTCTTTGGGACTTCAGTGACATGTTTATGCAGAGCTCCTTGCAGAGCCTGGCAAAAATAAATCCCTGCTATGAAGAACAACTAAGAGGGAAAGTGCAGCCTAACTTTCATCTGGAACTTCTGTCCTCAGGACTTTTGAAGTTGTATTTGTTAAGTGGCATGTCATATCCGCTTGTAGCACCTACAAATTTAAATACATACAGCATGAGTATCAGTGTGAGTAATTGTAAGTCTGCCCATGTGCGCTCTGTCTTTGGTTGACTGGGATTTAAAGAGCAAGTACTCCTATACCTGCTTAACTGGAATATTTGTCCCTTTGAATCCAAATTGATACACTTTTTTAAAGGGTCACCAAAATACTCCCAGACTTAGCTAAATTATTTTATTTTCTTCAGTAACAGAGCATGTCCACATTTACTCTGCTTTTTCATAATTTAGTCCTTCGAGCCTCTGGAAAAAAAAACACTAAGAAGGGGAGGACCAGAGTTCCTGGGAAATATGGAGTTAACCCAGTGTTGTTACCAGGAGTAGGAAATAGCTCACCCCTGCAGTCAATTTGCCTAATTGATTAGAAGGCTGATTGCACCCGTGAAGGACTGGATACCCCGGGGGGGGATATGCATGCAGAGAGGCAGGGAAATTGCACGGCAGCTTCACAGGAATGGTGTCTCCTGTGCTGCTGGGCCCCGGGCTAAGAAATCATTTTCCACCGACTGCTTCTGGATCAGCACCCACGCCCGTCTCCAGCACGCTCCCAAGCACAAAGTCGGATTGACTTGGAGAAAGAGGGCCGGGAAGGGAAACCTGAGAGCTACCTCCTACAGGCTGCTGAGCGCCCAGCTGGCACAGAAGCCATCCAGGCTGTGAGGGTACTCAGCCCCCTGCGGTGAGGCTCTCTAGCAAGAGAAATGTTGTTTTCCCCACCCAAACGCTCCCCACCTGCAAGCAGTAAGCGGTTTACTTCTTTAGTCTTTCGAATCAGAAATGTCCCAGTGACAGAAGTCCCAAGGTTTGGTAACCAGAGCGGCTCTGTGGTTCCCCAATCCGTTCGGGGATGCTGCCTTGTGAAGCCCAGCGGCGGGCTGGTTCAGTAGTACAGTAACTCAGCCCCCTGTCTGGGCTTTTTCAGCTTGGCTTCATTACTATTACCATGATAAAGACCAGCTTTTCTTTTTTTTCGACTTCCCTTTTGCCCCTTCAAGTCTCTACTTGCTCTTGACTTTTCTGAATTTCCCTTTGAAACCTTGACACTTTGGTTGTTCTCTCAGACAAATCTAATTACAAGAGTTCAAATAAACCTTGCTGCCTTTTTTTTTTTTTTCCTTTCTGTTGTGGGGCTGGGAGGTGAGGGAGGAGAAAGCATGGATAACAGAGAGATGTTGTGAAGATTTTCTGACAGAACTCATCTCTTTCATAGGCTCTTCAGGTCTTCTCTGCAATTCAGAGGGCCCAGAAAGCTTCAGCAGTGGGACATAATCCGAAGTCCAGTTTTAGCATAAAACAGAAATAGCAAAATGTGAGCCTAATAGGACAAACAGGAATTGCAGGCTGCCAACTGTTTCAACATGAAATACCCCGCCTTCCCCAATGAGACCTCAACATTACCTTGAGAAAAAAAAATCTGGTAACAGTTCAGATTTTAAAAAGAAGAACCCAGGTGAAGGCTCTTTCAAAAGCATCACACTGTGAAACAGCATAGTGGCTTACAGTCTGCTAAAGCACTCATTCAGTGCTGATGTGAAGTTTTACCTCCCTCGCCCCGCCATCTCCATGACTCACTGGAATACCTGGGCAGTCCCTAAACCAACCTGCTGTCTCCTTAACTTGTAGGACTTAGTGACCTCCATGTTGCTTGGGCTGAAAGGTACAAAAAAAATGATAAATGGATTTCTCGAGCCCTTTATGAAAAGTAATCTCTCTGATCCAGATATCACAGAACTCAGGTCTACTTTCCTGAGAGCAGAAAATGACTCACAAATTCAGTTATGGTTCACCTGGTGGTGGCTTACAGAGATTCTCTTTTATGTCAGTACAAAAAAAGGCAGTCAGCTAGTAAGGACAACACAGCCATCATCCAATCTCTAATGCTGTGTAAGGAGGAGAACTGTGGCAGGGGTTGGACTACTCTGGTGACATTCATAAATCACCTGAAACAAAGACACAGGGGAAAACTGAGCCTAGCCTCATCAGAAGAATTATTTCTGTGAT